GTTAAAAGTTAATAACAAAATTTTAGGTACTATTTTACTTTCCCTCAGCTAGATTTTATGGTATTTTATTGAAATACAGGTTAGACGAGTATTAGTATCTTTTATAAATGTGTATATGGAGGTGCTAATTTTGGAAGAGTTTATTCAAAGCCAAATAGATTGGTTCACTTAGTGTTGTCATCTTCTGGCTAGTTACCTGATTGTCTCAGTTGCTCAAATGTGTTTTCATTCATTGTAATTGCTTTTGATGAATTATTTCTAAGGAATGGAATCAGATTGCTAGTAATCAGTGCAATTGAAATCACTAGTGCAATGAAGTCTGATCTGTGCCATTGTCTTTGCATGTGTTCACTTTCACAGGCAATTTTCATCTGGTCACTAGTGAAATTCGACAGACCCGATTATGGTAAAATTCCATATCCTGACTGGGGAGTTGCTCTAGGCTGGTGTATGATTATTTTCTGCATTATCTGGATTCCGATTATGGCTATTATAAAAATAATTCAAGCTAGAGGAAACATCTTTCAGGTAAGCACATTAAATCAAGATTATTTGTTCACCAGTCCAAGTCAAGTCCCCTCCATCACCACTTATCCCTCCTTTGCCCTCTCCTACCTTCCCCCACCCCCTTTCCTTCTGGTAATCACCATGCTCTTGTCTATGAGGGCTTTTGCATCCCTCCACCTTCTTCAACCTGCCCACCTAACCCCTCCCCTCTTACAGCTGTCAGTCTGTCTTCTCTATCCATCAGTCTGTTTCTATTTTGTTTTTCGCTTGTACACAGATGATGTACTATAGCAATGTACCTCTGAAACCTATATAATTTTGTTAACCAATATCACCCCATTAAATTCAACTTAAAATTAATATTATTTGTGCTTCACATAAGGCACTAGGGTTGAACCAAACATTAATTTGCCCATCTGGTGGTAATATGAGATTATGACCATGAGATCAAATTAATCACTCTTTCCTCTGGGCTACTTTTACACCTGAGATGAACATTCACTACTCTGTGCATAACATTGTACTATGCTGTACACAGATTTGCGTGTCTCCCTGTACTAGACTATAAGCTCCCTTTAAGAAGAAGTCTTGTCTTGCTTGTTGCTGTAGCCTCAGGCCCTGTTAGAGTGCTTAGCACATGACAGTTATTATATCTGTACTGGTACTAACTTGTTCTCAAAGATGATGCAATGCAGACGAGCTTTTTTTTTATATCTACAATCTTCACTTTTAAAACATGGTTACACACACACACAGGTGTCTTTATAATGCATTTCCTAATAGCATGTGTAGACTGAAAAAGCCTGCTAAATGACCTTGAACACAAACTAGATCCTAAGTCATCCTTCTTCCATGGAGGCCTAGGGGGATGGAGTTGGTTATCACACGTCACTAAGACAAAGGGGCAATGGCAGGGTCAGCTCAGCAGTCAGATATTAAATAAATCTAAGCCCATTCAAGAAGGGATGTAGATCAGTTGTTTCAGCCTGGAGCTCCCTTTCTTTGGTTCTTGAAATTTCCCAGGTATACACTGATTTAGAGTCTCACCTAACTGTCACCCTGAGGACGGGCAAGGAAATCTGACATTCTACCCCTGGCTGGTGTGGCTCAGTGGATTGAACACTGGCCTGCAAACCAACTGGTCACCAGTACGATTCTCAGTCAGGGCACATGTCCGGCTTGCTGGCCAGGTCCCCAGTTGGGAGCGTGCAAGAGCCAACAGATCAATGTTTCTCTCTGTTCCTCCCTTCCCTCTCTCTAAAAATAAGTAAATAAAAAAATCTTAAAAAGAACTTTAAGACTCTAAAATAAAAATATAGCTTTATATTTATTTATTCACAAACTGTAGCACTTAATTTCTAAGACAGCATCTTTCCCATTTCAGCGCATTGTAAGCTGCTGCAGACCGGCTTCCAACTGGGGCCCATACTTGGAACGATACCGTGGGGAGAGATACAAAGACATGGCAGATCCGAAGAAAGAGACCGACCATGAAATACCTACGATCAGCAGCGGTGGGAAACCAGAAACCAGAACAAGTTCTAATTTTTAAGAATGTGTGCCTGTGCAATGTGATTACTTCAGAATAGAGAAAACTTTATTTATTTGTATGTTAACTGAACAAGAAATGTATATATTATATTCATAATAGCCTAACAACTATTTTTTCCCATTTAAGCAGGAATGTAATATAAAAATGTGAATCTACTAATTTTTATCAGTGTGCTTACTGTATTTCTTTTTAGATGAGCTATCTGTATAACGCACACTATCTGCATTTCACAATAACATTCTTGTACATTTCAAAATTAAGTTTTTCTAATAGAGTGAAGGTCGAAATTTGAGCGAATTATATAGAAAATAGTTATATTTTCTATCATATGAGTTTTAAAATATCACTTACTTATATTTTATTGCTATATACTCTTTTCTCCATAAAGCTTGAGAAAACAAATCAGTATATTTAAAAGAATGTGTTAAAATTGAAGGCCTCAGTCAATTAGAAATGTTGTGCATATGTGAAAAAAACAGACTATGTATATAGCACACGGACTGTAGTTTAATACTTGCGATCTAAATGTCTAAAAACTTCATGTATTTGTGGTTCACTTTTCTTTATGAACTTACTAGTTATGTTCTTTATTTTCGTATATCAAAAAAGACAGAAAAATTAGGACCCTGTGGCCAGTAAGTGAGAAATCTAGAAAATGGAAACCAGAGTCTTTGAATACTTCTCCATATAACGTGTTTCCTAAATTACATTTGGAAGGAACATCTGATCCATCTCGTTTGTACTGTTTCACAAAATTCAGAATAGTTCACTGTACTCTCTAAAATCTAGGTGTCGTTTCCAATAGACTATGGAACAAAATACTAAGGAAGAAATGACTTCAATCAAATTTAAAAATTTATGTTGTAATTCATAGTTAATAAATCAAGTGGAATCATTTTGTCTTATTTGAAGATGTTACTAGTTATGGTGACAACTTATTTACATACATATAGGGGATAAACTTGTTAAACCTGTCAAGAGTGAGAGAAACCAAATTAGGAAGTCCTATGTCCCCATTTCCCTACAGAAGATAATGAAAACATTGTATCACTAATAGTTCTTTACACTGATTATATATTATTAAAAAACCAGAAAACTGTACTTGAACAACAATTAAATAAATTTAAAAATAAAGAAAGAAAACTGGTTGAAGCCACACAGCCTAGAATGATGAACATGGCCTTGGTATGTGGGACACTTTTCAGTTATTCTTAATGTGTTTAATTTGGGCTTCAGAAACATAAGGAAGTAAAATTATATACAATATTTTTCTAGGTGTAGTTGTGCATGCCTTTTTTGAAGGAGAGTGTTTATAGTCTTTGGCAGCATATCACAGGGATCTGGGACTGAACAGTTTAAGAACCACACACACCAGTGCTAGTGTTTGTTCTTGGCAAGGAAGAAATGTGAAGAATAATGTTAAAGGTTCATTTCTAATACATTTTATATTTCTTTTCCTCTTTTTTAGATTTAAGATTAAGGAGTAAGAGATTAAGGTATTTCTTTAATGTATCGTAATAATTTGTTTTGGGAGGAGTGAGCCTGAATGTAGGTAAACTGCTAGGGCTCTAATTGAACAATCTCAGCGAGGTATGTACACATACATAAGATGAGCTCATCTTAAATGTTCTGAGGCTATCCCGGGCTGGTGTGGCTCAGCAGATTGAATGCTGGCCTGCAAACCAAAGGGTCGCAGGTTCGATTCCCAGTCAGAGCACATGCCTGGGTTGCAGGCCAGGTCCCCAGTAGGGGACACACGGGGGCAAACACACACTGATGTTTCTCTTCCTCTTTCTCCTTCCCTTCTCCTCTCTAAAAATAAACAAATACAGTCTTTAAAAAATATTTTGAGGGCAGATCAAATGCTGTTAGTGAACTTCTAACAGATTGTTAATTCCTCAATTACACTGGAGTTTATAAAATATTATATGAAATAGATGGGTGACTACAACTAAGAAATACTTTTTTTCCTTAATTTTAACCCATATTATATCACAGACATTCTACCATTATATTTTGATGCTATTGGGGGCGTGAATTTCTTACAAAAGTAGTAAAATGCATGCAATTTTCTATAGGTGACTTGCAATGCAGGAAAGATTGAGATACATTTCTAATGAAATGCTCTCAAATTGGCAGTGGGAGGGGTGATCAGGAAGAGATTCCCTTTAAGAGCTCACTACCAGTGTGCGTAACCCCTCACAAAGGTGTGAGGCACAGACCTCAACAGAGTGCCTTGTGTACTTTAGGGCACTCACGAACAGCTCTTCCTATATTATTATACACAGATTCCACAGTGGTAAGAAAGACTGTTCTGCAAATGGAAAGTGTCTTACTGAATCTCATTGACTTTAATGCAAACTAGGAGACATCCAGTACAGCAGTGTAAACTGCTAATGAAAACCTTTTCTCACACTTGAGTCAAATTAAAATCACGACATGCCAACTAGATTTTTTCCACTGTAGCTTATTTTCAAAAGCTTTTGAATGATTTTTTTCTCTACTGTGTTTTCGTTCCTCCCCTGGTAAAATATATATTAGCAACATCTAATCCATTCTTTAACTGTGAGTATGCAAATGAATCATGTCTGGGTTTTGCATCTTACATGGCCTACCCTCCCCTTCTAAACAATAATTAATTTGGGCCCTGGCTGGCATAGCTCAGTGTATTGAGCACGGACCTGCGAACCAGAGTATGGAGGTTCGATTCCCAGTCAGGGCACATGCCTGGGTTGCAGGCCAGGTCCCAGCAGGGGATGCATGAGAGGCAACCATACATTGATGTTTATCTCCCACTCTTTCTCCTTCCCTTCCCCCCTCTCGAAAAATAAATAAATAAAATATTTTTTAAAAGTTTTAAAAAACAATAATTAATTTGGTATAAACACATATACTAGTCAAACGAACCCAGTCCAAGTGCATTTAATGATTGTGTATGCTGTCAATACATTCCGTCAGCCTGCCCAGGGGGTTTACGGTTCACTAGTGTGCCATTTAAACGCCTGGTGACTACCACATGTTCCCGTTCGGCGAGGTCGTATTCCACCACCCTGAGGTTTACCAGTACTAGTTTGTCGACAGCCTCGGGGTGCGGGGAATTCATTAAGGTGTTCCGAGAGAGGCAGATGATTGTTAGGCCGTTATCAACATCGCTGTTAGCTGACTCAGTCTCAGAAGATGGTCTCACTGCTAGGAAAGCAGTCGAGTTTGATGACATTTCACCAGTGTGTCTCTGTAAGGAAAACAAATTACACATATGTAGTTTATTGCGTTTAGCAATTTACCAATACGACCAAATAACAACATGCATAGTCTTGTTTATGAAAATAAAGTGACTGTCCTCCCTTAAGACCTGCAGATTAAAAGTCTATCGAATGACTACACTGATTTGGAAATGTGCTCTTCCCAACCAGACTGAGGGGAAAATGTATGAAAGTGACCTTTTAATGCCAAATGCCGTATTCTCGCCTGACATTTCCTGGGCAGTGCGGTAGGTCTGTATTTGGGCCCTGTCTGACCCTAACCTAAAAGGACTTCATTTGCAAATTTAAATAGCACCAGGAATATCACATTTAGACCTGAATTGTTTGTGAATGCCCCTAAAGTGATCATAAAGATCGGCGAAAAGGAAAACACAGAGGAGGAAGAGGCACACAGAAACAGAGGGGCAGTGGAAGCCAGAGAAGAAAAGTGAGAAGGTAGAGATTCTTTTTTACCAAAATCGAAAACATCGAATCCACTGGGGGGACAGTGGTAAGTACGACTGTATAGGTCTTCAGCGTGCCACCCCACAACACACCATCTGAACACTGTACCGCACACCCACCACTTCCAGTCAAGCGTCCCTCCCCCACCGCCCATCCCCCTCCCCTACCGTCCACCCCCCCTCGCCCCTCCCCCCCTCCGCTCCCTCCAGCGGCCACAACAGCAGGAGGCGGTGCTGCAGAGCAGGCACTTGAAGCTGAGCTTTCTGAGTGGATAGAAAGTTGACTATATCCTTAGTGACTGGGGCCTTTTTACAACAGATCACAGCTGTCGAATCACCGGCCAAGATGAGAGAAGTGGGGAGGGAAAGAATAAACACTGGGGGCTCTTGAAAGAGAAAAAGGGGAATGAGGTGCCCTCCCCTTACCCTAGTTTTACCGTTTTGTCATCTTCCTAGTTTCTTGGACAACCTCCCGTGCGTATCTTCTTCCCCTAGCTTCAGGTCTTTCCTATCTCTCTGACACACTTTACCTGACAGTCGTGTGGCCAGAAGACCAGCAGAAGAAGAAACACGAGGCCCCCCACGAGAAGCAACGGGATGCTCATGGCTGCTGTTCGGCCTCTTCTGCGTCTCAGGCACGGGACAGGCAGGGGCCGCTAGCCACCGCAGCTCCGGAGGTCCGAGCCAGCGGCCAGCGTGCTGAGTGAGCTTCTGGACTGCCTGGTTCCACTGGGGGAGCCGCGGCGCCCTGGGTTACAGAGTGCAGGGCGGGTGACCTCACAATGGAGCAGAACGTGCAGCCGCAGGCCACAGTCTGAGGAGACTGTCTCCAGGAGACCGCTCCCGTCTCCAGGAGACCAGGCCGCAGTGGTTCCAGAGGAGGAGAGCCGGCCCGGACAGGTGAACCCAGGCTTCCCAGGGAGCCGGAACAGGGGTGGGAGTACCGACTCCCACTGGGCTAGTTAAATGCAGCATTTTAAAAATGCCCTTTCGTCCTTTCTTTCTTCTTTTTAAAGATAAGTTTGCCTCTGCTGCCACTATTCCATTATTCATTTCGAACACAAGTTCAGAATCCAGGTACAAACGCACCGAAAAAAGTAGTTACCTAAGACTTTCCCAGAAACCTCTTGATGCTCTGGTTCCCAGTTTGGCCTCCCTCCAGCCCTATAGCACGGAGATGATTATGCACCTCCGTGTCACTGCCCACTGTAAACGGAGATTCGACGGACCTTTCCCCATGTAATTCCCACAATACTTTGAACTACAGGTCTTTCCAGTATTGTGTCTCATTTTGGAAATGCTGAAACAGATTGAGGTGTCACGCAAAGTCCTTTGAAACCAGAAGCAAAAACAGGACTCACATCCACAGCGTTTCAATCCAGAGATATCCACCCCCCGCCCCGCACCCCGCCGCCCATTCCTCTCACCTTCACTCCCATCCCCGCACCCTCACTGGGAGCACCGAGGGTGTCATACTTTCCACACGAGGAATCCAACACTACACTTGGAAGAGAATTGATAGAAATTCTATCGAATTCTAACAGATACAAGAAACACTGTACTAGACCAGTTAGAAATTTCCAAGAAATTTAGATAAAGGTACGAGGTGACACTGGACCAAAAAAAATTAGCCAGGGTGATCTCAAGATGAGGTCCAACTTCTCCTCCTTAACTGGTGGGGGAATGACTCATTTTCACACAGACGTGATGGAGACCAATGGCATGTGCAAGCTTTTCATATCAAACTTACTTCCCGCCCTGGCTGGTGTAGCTCAGTGGATTGAGCGCGGGCCTTGGAACTAAGGGGTCTCGGTTTGATTCCCAGTCAGGGCACATGCCTGGGTTGCAGGCCAGTCCCCAGCGCGGGACACACGAGAGGCAACCATACATTGACATTTCTCTCCCTCTCTCCCTTCCCTTCCCCTCTAAAGACAAATCAATACAATCTTAAAAAAACTTACTTCCCAATTATGAGTTCAGAGCTTAAAGGTTTATTTATTCACTACCTATGTCTTATACTCCCAAGTTAAGGGTGGGCACCTTGGTGTATTCCTTTCATTGTCCATCTTTAAGTTTGCCCAGCTTTTACTTGCTGTAAGGATGGACTAGTGACTTCCAAGCTTGTTACATAGTGGACTGGAAACCAGAAGTCCCAAAGATTTCTGCACCTGGATTCATAAAGATACTGGTCTGGATTTTTCTTTTCCTTCTTTTTCTCTTTTGCAGTGCCTTTGGCTGGCTTTGGTATCAGGGTAATGCTGGCTCCATAGAAAGCATGAGGAAGCCTTCCATCCTCTCCAATTTTTGGAAGAGTTTCAGGGCTGATGTTAATCACTCGTTCAATATTTGGTAAAATTCGCCAGTGTTGCCGTCTGGCCCAGGACTTTCCCTGGTTGGAAGTTTTTGATTATGGATTAAGCCTCCTCGCTAGTTATAGCTAGATTCATGTTTTCTACTTCATCATGATTCAGTTTTTGTAGGTTGTTTCTAGGGATTTTTTATTTCATCTAGGTTGTCCAATTGCTGGGGCATGATTGTTCACAGTACTTTCTTATAATCCATTTTCTTCCTATAAAATCAATATTAATGCCCACCATTTCTTCTGAGTTTTGTTGTTTGTGTCTTCTCTATTTTTCTTAGTCCAGCTCTTTATTGTTTTGTTCTCCTCTATTTCCTTTATTTCTGCTCTAATATTTATCATTTCCGTCTTTCTGCTAACACTGGCTTTATTTTGTTCTTTTTCTAGCTCTGTGTTTGGAGACTGTGTTTGGCTGGCTGGGGAGCAGACCTCCGCGCTGGTGCCGTCCAGCGGCTGTCCACAGCTGGGCCTCGAGTCTGCACCTGCACATTCCTGCAGCTCCTCAGAGTCTTGCGGACAATGACTGAGGAGATAAACCACGCAGGAAACATCTAGCAAAATGTAAAAAAAATACATAATATGAAATGTTTGGTGGTGTACAAAGAAAGCTAGACAGTTCTTCGCTTCTTGGGTTCTAGTTTTCTCTGTAAGAAAACAAGGTTTTGTTGTTTGGTTGGTTCTTTGGTAAAGGTGGACGGTTGCATTTGGACTAGGGACAATAGTTCCACAGAGAAATGAGCATATGGGAGATAATGAATATAACTTATGTCTTTGTGTATTAGAAGAATTTTATACTTCTCTTAAGTAAGTTCAACATGGCTTACACATTGTTTTATTTAATATTTATAAAGTTAATTATCTTTTGAAGATAAGATGGAAACTTAGCATTATTCCATACCTTTGTACATTTACATATATGTCTGAACACACACATATAAAGTTATGTTAAAGTTAGAAATAAAAGTGGCTTATGAATTCTTTACTGCAAATCATCACACGAATGGTGTACTGAAAATTAAATCAGAATGTAAGATTGCTTTCTGCTCAAAGATCAACTTATTCTGTACACAGAATGCAGGCACTTTTTCTTCTTGAAATGCTTTGTTAACTCTCTGTACTTCTAGCATTAAATTCCCTGTTAAAAGTTTCTTATTTTTGGCCCTGGCTGGTATGGCTCAGTGGATTGGGTGCCAGTATGCAAACGAAAGGGTCACCGGTTCAATTCCCTATCAGAGCACATGACTGAGTTGCAGGCCACGTCCCCAGTAGGGGGCATGTGAGAGGAAACCACACATTGATTTTTCTCTCCCTTTCTTTCTCCCTCCTTTCCCTTCTGTCTAAAAATAAATAAATATAGTTTTAGAAAGGTTTCTTATTTTTGGAAAAAAGTGAAGTTTCTAACAATCATTGTTGCTTATCACTATGTTTTCAGAGTATTAGTCTTAAATATTTAAAAAATATCTACGTATTAGTCATTGGCAAAAGTGTGCTCATTCAATTACAGAATGCTATTTCAACTATCTATGCTGCAATTTTATTTCATGTAATGGCACTTTTCTCTTTTAAGTATATTTTATTGATTATGCTATTACAGTTGCCCCATGTTTTTCTCCCCCTTTACCTCCTTCTGCCCCCTACAACCCTCCCTCCAGCATCTCCCCACTTAGTTCATGTCCATGGGTTGTACATATAAGTTTTTCGGCTTCTCCATTTCCTACACTATTCTTAACCTCTCCCTGTCTATTTTGTACCGATAGCCTTTTTCTATATTTCTTTATTATTTCCCTCCCCTCTTAAGAATTTTATTTATTGTATGAATATACACAACAATCCACTCTGCCTCCTCTCAAAATCCTGATTTGTGTTCTTAAAGTATATTTCTTATAAACGTCCTATCTTTGTGGACAACTGTAGATGCAAATAAAAAATTTGTATTTGCCTGATAGTGCCTTTTCTTGTTTATACGCGAGGAAAAGCATAACCTTGCCTAACAAACAAAAGGTAAAAGTGTCTTCGAGGTCTCCCCTTGTTCTGAAGACTGTTCCTTCTGTGTGTCCCCAACAATGTGAGTTCAACTTAAAGCCACTGTGCAGAACGTAGGCTTTCACAGGTCCCTCTGCCTTTATAAATTGATATAGTCAACACAGAGCTCATCCTTCTCGTTATTGGTTAAGTACTATGACTATCAGAAAATCCGGGAGATGTGAAATACTGATTTTTGAATCTTATGAAATGTGAAAGATTATTGTTTTTTAAATGTTATTAATTTTCAAATTATCTCAGAGAAGATGTGTCTGACATTCTGGACTATGATGGTACGCATTAGATGCTGGAAGGTCGTCGGCATTGATAGAGGTCCAGTATACACACCCGATTTCAGAAGTGGGCAACGACCACTTAGAGCAAGGGGAAACATTCAGGACATTGGGAAGGAACACATCACGTTAGTGTGGCATAGAAGGATGTTTAAGGGATGAGAGGTTATGGATGTGTCAGAAAGAGAATGAGCACTGAAATTGTGCAGAAGAAAAGAAGGACGGAAAACAAGCAGAACTGGTGCTTCTCAGCTAATTGGTGTTGACAAACTGAACTCTGCAGTTCCGTAGGCTGCCTTTACTTTGTAAAGCTACACTGTCCAGACAGAAACTACAGAGGACTGACTACGTTATTGTTGGGGACGGTGGGTAGACAATACATTCAACTGGATTTCCCATCAGAATCAGACTCATATGCTTACAGAATGTGTGTTTGGAACCCTTGGGCAGGTCCTTGTGCCCTTATTCTTACACAGGAAAAGATTAACCTCCTTAAGCCAAACGGCAATTCCCCGGGGTTGAGTTTGTGAAAGCTTCTGTTTATTCCACACTCTAGACATAAGGCTTAAAATACTTCTCCTTCCTGAGACCTTCATTTATAATACGGTATACTTGACATCAATTTTTCTAATAATGTTTTTAAGTATCTGGATCACAGTTATCTGATGGGGTTTTCTGGTAGAAGTTGATAAAATGAGAAAACGAGTTTAATGGAGTGTGTGACGGTAGGGAGTAGACAGTCAAGAATGAAGGTATAATGAGGATATCAGGTATAAATTTTATCAGTTCTCCAGAGTTTGTTCCAGTACTTACAACATAACAATATTGAGTTTGAAATACCACATTCTTCAGTTATTTGCTTCTCCTAATGAAATATTTGTGGGCCACATAGTGAATGTTTGAACACATGAGATGTTTACATTATAGTTGG